CTGGCACAACAGCAATCTAGTTGAGAGTGTGATGGTGGGGCTGAAGGAAGGTAAAAAGAAACAGGAATAATCTAGGAAGCAAAGCTATGGATAGAAGCAAAAGCATAGGTGTGCACTATGTAAAAAAAATAAAAAGTATTGGCCTATGTACATATATTTATATAGCAATACACTGAGATAGTAGAAAGACTTCAGGCTTCTGCTCATAACCTCCCTCAATACAAGAACACTTTGTTCTAACAAATTGGCAATCTGAGATGCTCACCCTCTCAGCACAATCGCTGAAGACAAAATGGATGCATAAGCAAATGTGGTGAAAAAGGCAGATGGTGCCCAGTTATTAACAGATATAAGCCTGGGGTCTTCCAGGCTTGAAGTGAAAAAAAGCGGCCATCCAGCAGAGAAACAACAAGCCCACATGGAAGAAACACACCAGCCTGTGTGATCATGAGGTGTCATTGGGACCAAGTAACAGGCATCAGAAGACCCTTAACAATCAAACGAACAAACAAATCCATATGGTTGAGAATGACGGGGGCTCAGAGCAGAGACCCCAAGTTGCTTTTTTGGCCATTGCACTTTCCCCCACAGAGGGGTCACAGGGAAGGGAAGGGCCAACCAGGGCACAGTAAAGCACCAATGAAACACACAATATTCCTCTGGTTCCTTGAGGCTTCCTCATGCCCTCCCCACCCCACCATGACCCCAGTGATGCTCCTCACTTCCGACTAGACTGGAGCATGTACCCAGGTATAGATAAGAGATAAGCTCTCATGACACATGCAATCCAGGAGCAGGAATGGGAATAGCAGTACCAGATGAGTAGGGAGAAGAGGCGGAGAGGAAGGGAAGGGGGAACCAATCATAATGATTGACACACAACTACATACACCCCTCCAGGGGGAAGAACAACAGAAACCATTGGGGAAGGGAGACAGTGGTCAGTGTGAAATATGAAAATAATAATAATATATAATCTATCAAAGGGTTATAGGGTTGGGGGTTGGGGTGGAGGAGCTGATACCAAGGGCTCAATAGAAAAGTAATTGTCTAGAAAAGAATGATGGCAACATATGTACAAATATGCCTGATACAATTGATGTACAGATTGTAATAAGAATTGTAAACCTTCAATAAATGATAAAAAAAAAAGCTGCATTGATTTTTTGCGTTGTCTCTTGTCTTCCCACTCATTTAGTTCTGCCCTGATTTTTATTATTTCTTTTCTTTCACTATTAGAGGGGTTGTTCTGTTGACTCTGTTCTAGTTGCTGGAGGTTATGTGACAGCGTATTAGTCATAAGTCACAAGCCCCTGGCTTTTCCTGTTTTATTATGTTAAAATCCTGGGCTGTGCTCTGGGGATTAGTATCCTGCCTGTCTTGTTATGTGAACATTATGCTAATAGACCTGGACCAGGTTTCTGGTGGATTACATTCAAATGTATGCAAAGGAACACAGCCTGGAATTGTAAACGTTAACAATTTTTTTTTCTTTTTATAATGGGCTTATGGGGTGTCCTGGTATTGGGGATGTGCTGTGCTGTTCCTCAGGGAAGGGGACTAGATTCGCTGAGTGGTTTAGGGGTGGTTTGGATCTGAATTCTCCCCCAATTTCACTCTTGTGTCACTCCCGGATCTCCTGCACAGCTATGTCACAGGTAAATATCCCAGGGGCACCTCAATTGCTGAAAATTAGTGACTAGTTATCTATTGTTACTGTCACTGGCAGGCACAGAGCTCTCAATTCCCTGATCTAACAACAGGACCACCGGGGAGGGGTAGGAGGTGATTCTACCTTGGCACTATCTTGACTCCTAGACTTACTATTGATGTAACAGCTACTGAACGTGGGATCACACATGGTTTGTTATTTTCAATGTGAAATGAATATTTTGGACTCATCAAGCCTTCAGCTGAATAGGTGGCCAAAATATTGACTCCAAGAACTATCTATGCACAAATCTATTAAGCAAGATTGAAACTAATGAAGGCAATTTTATGGAACAAATTGTAACTGGGGAAATATTTTGAATTTACTAATAAAATCTAGAGAATAAAGTTCACTAAAAATTGATTTCCAAGGGAATCTGCTGGACCAATTAAATTCAAAGCCAGGAAGTCAGCTAAGAAGGCTGTTTTTGTTTTGTTTTGCTTTATTCCATAGAGGTTATCTTAATAGAGTTTCTCAAAGGACACAGAGTGACTTGCTAGGAGTAACATTTAAGAAAATGTAAAACTACATTAGTGAGAAAAAGACTAGGAAGGCTATGCTGAGGATTTTTTCCTCATTATGACTATGCATTTTCAAGGCTAACAATGGGTGTTTTGAAAAAATTTCATTAGGAAACCTTACCAACCTCTTTCTACCCTACCTCTCTGATTTTATCTCTTCAGAATTCTTCTTGTTCCCCAAACTCAAAGAACATTTAAAAGGAATACAATCTAATTCCTCAAAGAGGCCCAGAGTGTCATTTTGAGGTGGTGTAATCAAAGCACACAGAATTCTTCAGGGAAGGGTTGTTTGAATGAGATGCCCTTGAGTCAGTTCTGACTCACAGCACCCCGATGTACAACAGAATGAAACACTGTCTGGTTGTGAGCCACCTGCATAATTGTACCTATGCTTGAGCTGATTGTTGCAACCGCCAGGTCAATTCATCTCCTTGAGGGCTGGCTTCTTTTTGGCTGTACCACTATTTACCAAGTGTGATGTTTTTATCCAAAGACTTGTCTCTTCTGACAGCATACCCGAAATATGTAAGATGAAGTCTCACTATTCTTACCTCTAAAGAACATTCTGACCCTACCTCTTATAAGACAGATTCATTTGTCCTTTTGGCAGGAAATAGTATTTCCAGTATTATTTGCAAGCACCCTAAATCTAATGCATCAATTCTTCTTCAGTCTTCCATAGTTAATGTCCAATTTTCACATGTGTATGAGGCAAATGAAAATACCATCAAAAGAGTTAAAAAAGAATCCACATATTAGAAAAAATATTTATTAATTATACATCAGATAAAGGGCTAATCTCTAAAATCCATAGAAAACTACAGCATGTTAACTATGAAATCCAAATAATTCAATTAAAATTTGACATAAGATGTGAATAGACAATTTACCAAAGACAACATCGAGGCAGCCAACAACCATATGAAGAAATATTCATGTACATTAACAATAAGTTAAAATGAGAAACTACTTCAAACATTGAAGAAAATACAATAAAACAGAAAATAATAAGTACTAGAAAGGATACGATACTTTTACATTGTTGATGACATTGTAGATCTTTGGAAACTAGCATGGCACTTCCTTAAATGCAAGTACAAGTATGTTATCATCTAGCAATCTGTTTATTGGGTATATACCCTAAAGAAATAAAGACTATATCATGAACAGTCATATGCACAGCTATGTGTATTGTAGCAATTTCTATAACAGCAAAAACATGGAAAAACCTCCAAACTCTGATAATGTATGTAGGTATAAAAATTAAAATGTGAAAAAGCTACACGAGGTGGAGTTTTCATAGTACACACATCCAGTAACTTGCTCTGAGTCCGTACACCCAGTGGCATCGCTGTAAATTTTTTCATAAAAGCATTTTCTCTGGGACCTCATTTTTTGTAATGACCGATTTAAAAGAACAGTGTGCAGCTGTGAAATTTTGTTTACTGCTCGGGAAAAATGCCGCAGAAACTGTTATGATGTAGAACACAGATTACAAGGACAGCGCTAATGGAAAAACTCAAGTGTATGAGTGGTTTTCTCCTTTCAAAGAAGGTGAAAGGCCGATTGATGACAAACCTCATTCTGGATGTCTACCAATTTCGCAAATGGATGAAAATGTCAACTTGTAGTGCATTCAGAGTTCATTATACCAGGTCAGACTGTTAATCAAGCTTTCTATTTAGAGGTTCTGAAAAGATTGCATAACAGTGTGTGACAACAACAAAAAAGGCCTGATTTGTGACAGACGGTATTGGCTTTGCCCCCATGACAGTGCATCTGCTCATGCAGCCATCTCACATCACCAGTTTTTGGCAAAAAACAGCATGTCTCTCTTGCCCCAAGCTCCTTACTCACCTAACCTTGCTCCTTGGGACATCTTTTTGTTTCTGCGAATGAAGGGGACATGAAAGGACAGTAATTTGATGGTATAGAAGAGGCAGAACAACAGTAACAACAAGGGCGGTGCTGTGAGCCCTCCAAACAGGTGAGTTTGAAAAATACTCCCACGAATGGAATCGCAGATTTGACAAATGTATTCAGTGTAATGGAAAGTACTTAGGAAGTGATAATGTTCAGCTTCCATTCATTAGGTCTTCAGTATACGCCCTTGTTTCCATGCCTTGCATAAAGTTTTCAGCTGCTACTTCCTTCAGAGTAGGCATCCCAGTCCTTCCTCATGGTCTGTTCTTCACCTGGAAGCTCTGCTGATGCCTGTTCACCCTGGGGGACTTTGAAATAGCAGCGGCATCACTTCCAGCATTGCAGCAACACAAAAGCCACCACAGCATGAGACACTGACGGACAAGTGGTGGAGAGAAGGGTTGGAGAGAGGGTAACTCTGCTCTTGGAAGGCTATACACCTAGACAGAGAGCATATTGAGATATAATCGCTTCACATTCTCAGATTTTTGTTTAATAAAGATTTCTATTATTTTGTAGCAATCCTTTTTGTCATACCCTCCTATACTACATATCTATAGCTCCTTATAGATTATGAATCTGACTCTACTTAAGAGTGATGGGTTTCAATGAGAGTCTTAGTAATACATTTCTCCTTGAAGGAAAGTCTGGGTGGTCAACTCAGATTTTGTTGTTTTTCTCTCACCACCTGTGCACTTTTCAAAATTCTCAAAGGACTTGAGATTTTCCCTCCTCTCTGTGTTCTGAATAAAGCATCCCTTTCCCTGTGTCTGTCCTGCATTCAAAGGGTTTTTAGATCTAGTCATAATAACACTATCAGAACTGCTTCTAAAAACACTCAGATGTGGACATTTATTCTTACTCAGTTTCTTCTCAAGGTGAAGATAGTTCTTTATAAATGTCCTAAAGAAATATAGTAGCTTTCTGTTCATCTTTTGCAAGTATGAAGGGAGGATCGTTCCACTACTGACACTTTAAAAACAAACAAACAAACAAACAAACACACCCCAAACCACTCAGACTTGTCAAATATGCGGTCATTTCATATAAGGAACAAAGCTTGCTTTGAACATATTCAAGAGGCTGATTTATGTCAAACAGGCTTTTCTGGCGTTTTGAGGCCCTGTGTCTGAGGCAAGCTGTAGTGGCACAGAATGAAAATGTTCAGCTGCTAATTGAAATTTATGTGGACGTGGCAGTTTGCTCTGTAAAGATTCAGAGACTTGGCAACCTGGTGGAGCGGTTGGACTCTCCAACAAGGTCACGATAAAGACATCTTTTTGACGGCAGCAGGCTTGGTGTTTGGATTTTAGCTATGAGTTCGTTTCTTGTACCATGTAATAAGCAAGAGGCAAAATGTTACATTAAACCCATCAAAAGGCTTAAAACAGGAAAAGCCTTGAGCAGGTTGTTGTTGTTGTTTTAAAGAACGTTATGATGGTGGAGGAATGAATCTTCCTACTAGCTTCTTTGCTCCGTCCACATTCATCT